AGAGAGTGACAGGTTCTGATTCGAGAGAATTTTAAGTTCAAAGGGCTTTTTTCATTATAGAAACGTTTTGTGAGTGCCAAATGTTGTTATCATGACACTACATTTACCCAGTATCACTCTCTATTTGAAGTGAATAAAAATTTAGGCCACTCGACGTTAAAAACATTGATTGAGTAATATAAATACGTTAAAAATACAAAAACGTGAAGTACCATCCTGTGACCGTGAATTTTAAAAGCTACAAAACTCATATTTGGTAGATAAACGATGCATACGCACAATCCTGTGTGTGGATAAAATTTCCAACAATATCTTTGAAAATATTCAATCTTTTTTCGAATAAATTGATATTTTTTCTAGCGTCAGGAATAAAAATATCAAATATTTATTTAACAAATTTCTGTTGAGCTTTGATTTCTAGTTCAGATCCATTTAAATCCATTTTCGAAATATTAAATTGATGGCGTCGAATGTAACAGTAAAATTAAAAGAAGGTATGTTACAAGAAGAAAAGAAAGGAGAAAACATTTCACTACTTCATCATCTGTTTAATGTTGTAATAATAATGATAATTAGCTTTTTTAATTTTCTGTTTCTGAACCAGATTGCGTAATTGGGTGTCTGGATTGAATCCACCATTTGTCTCTATTGTAAGATATAAAATATAAACTCTTTTTTTGCAAAAGGGGTTTAAGAATTTTATTTATTAATAACAATACACTTTTGCCACCATCTGTTTTCAACATTAGACAAAAATTTTGACACCATCTGTTTTCAACCATCTGTTTTCAATATCATTTTCATTTGAAAATGACATCTTGAAACCTTTCTCGGAAAACTATGATATAAAATAATGTTATACAAAGCACAGAAAAAGATTCCGTTCCGATTTCTTTGTCGAACGGGTCGGTCGTCAAAACTTCATCGGTATATTGCTCAGCGGTGGTAGCGGATAAGTCGCTCGTAAAAAACAGCGAATTCACTAGTCCACTCCGGATCCAAGAACGGCGCAACTTTTCATCCCGTGTCCGTCCCTGGCTGGGAATTTTTACGACAGCAAAGTACACGTCCACGAGCTTGCTCCCTATTGTCCCGATTATTCTTTTCTGTATCGTTCGCGACGAGAGAGTAAGCGGCGTCAAAAATATTTCCCGGAGCGCTCTACCTCTTTTACACTGTCGTCTACCTTTTGTCCCTTTGTCGTGTTCCGATCAACGTTTCCGGACCGTTTTCATTTGTTATCACACCGTTCCTGGACTTCGTTCTTCGTTGCGCGATGTTATCTCGTTAAAGGAGTGGACTCCCGTGCCTTGATGCGCTCGTACGCACTCACACAGCTCCACATCACTGTATACGTACACGGAACTGCAAGGCTTGCGTATTGTCTTATTTTTGTCTCGACAATACAAATTCGAGACCTCTCAATAGTCGTTTCCGCTAGATAAATGTTCAAACTTGTGCGCAAGCTCCTATAGGTAGTCTACTTTTGCTTTTTTGTGTCATAATTAATAATATTCAGCAATATTTCGCGATCAAAAGAAGCAATATGGTGGTGTGACAGTGCTGCCGCGTTGTCTGAACTAACGCTGCTGAAACATACGCTGCTGAATATTGTTAATTATGACACAAAAAAGCAAAAGTAAACTACCTATAGGAGATTGAGGTAAATGAATATCGATAAACGTGTTTTGTTGTGATCAAAACGATTGATAAGACAGAGAATATAAATGATATCAGTGGTTCAAAAATTATAAATTTCTTCGCTTTTTGTTTTAACGAGACAGGTATATTGTAAAAATAATAGTATTTTATAGAATTGTCATACTTAAACACAATTAAGTAATGTGAGAACAATGCTACAAAAATGTAACCGTAGTTTAGGACCGAATTGGAAAAATATCACATTTAGTTTAATGGAAACTGCTAAGTATTCGACTCATTATATAAAATAGTTGAAACTTAATCTATCTGATATATTTGATTTGACATCTGACGTAACATGTTTACGTTTGCTTCTTCTTCTTTGCATAGATATTTTTTTAAAAACTTGAATGGGATCACAAACCAGCGATTAATGTGATTGAAATTTTAAAATAAATTTGAACAATATTTGTCTTATTATTCTTACTATTATTGATTCATACATATCAGTTTTAAATTCTTTTATTTAGATCATGCGAAGAAATTTTCAGTTCTTAAAACCTACATTTGTAGTCTATTCGTCCTTCTTTGGAGCAAAAATCGCATTAAAGACGTCCATGAGTTAATCACATTTCTTCTTATCACCAAAAAGTGAGTCATAAAGCTATTCGTGGTTCTCAAAAGCAAACTACAAATCCAAATTTCACAAATTTGACATAAACATCTTAAGTTACTCAACTAGTGTTATATTCTTCAGAAGCAATGTACATATGTTATGGTGAATGTGATAAATGCGGTGATTATGCATAATCCCCATTAAAGTTGGTAAATGTGATAAATTGTGATAAATGGTGGAACACTTATCAAATTGACTGGCGATTTGATATAATCCTCAACTCGTAATGGGGAATGTGATAAAATTGATAACACGAATAACAATATTTTATAATTTACATCTAAAAATTTAAACCACAATTAGGAGGAATTTCGGAGACAGGAGTTCCGATTGTGGTTTAGGTACAGTATGTAATACTTTTATACTGTTATACCTGTTTTTGAAAATGTTCATATTTCGATTTAATAGAGTTGATTTGGGTCTATATTTTCGGAAGGGGGTACAGTACGAATTCAACTTTTTCTTTAATTATAATATTCCACATTTTTCATATTATTGCCCAGATTGACAAAGCAAAATCTGAAAGGCGGAAATACAACCGTGGTCGAAGGGTGGAAGACCATTGGCTCTTAGGCATGGTGGATATTTCCACGGACGATTTCCGGATGATAATAGTACCAAACCGAATTTTGGTAAACTATGGACTTTTATCATATTCGCCATTTCGAGATGGGAATTATATTTAACAGTATTCAATATTCCCGCCCCTATCAACAATTACCACAAACTTACGCAGACAGTATTTCCGTGTAGACGGCATATGCATTAACAAGTTTATCACATTCCCCATTACGAGTTGGGGATTATATAGAATCACCGGTGAATTTGATAAATATTCCATAATTTATCACATTTATCAACTTTAGTAAGTATTATGTATAATCCCCAGCTTATTACATTTGCCGTAACATATATAAGTCAAAATATTTCAAATTTGGGATGAATATCCAATCACCTACATAACGCTATTTTCTTCATTATTATTTGAAATAATTAATTCCTTAAAATTTTAATTCGGCATAGTTAAACTATGGCAAATGAATCTTTTATAGATTTCTTTTGTATACCTTACAAGCAGACTACTCCAACAAATTTGGAATAACTATTTTAAATCATTGAAGTGATATAATATTCTTGCGAAGTAAACACTGTAGGTCTAAAATACCAACATTTGGTATAAACATTTTAAGTCACCCAACTAGTGTTATATACTAATATATGTAGTACTGTAGTAGTGTACTAACTCGTGCAGATTTCTATTTGTCAGACCTTTACAGAGTCTTTATCAGTTGCTTTCACCAACGATTCGTTCCGTCGGCGTCGTTTTGCAGGCTATCGATCTATGTTCCAGCACTGGCAGCCGCTTTTCGCCGCAAAGATCCCGTTTAAATCCAAGCACACGTTGTAATTTCCTTTTGGTGTTCGTAGCGACCGTAGCCGTACGTCTCGAATTCCCCGCAGCTTTTATTCGCTGAATCCTTCGTCCCTTCGCCTCGAATATTATTCGAGACGATGGCTACGTTCGTTGCGAAACAGACTCCCGATACGCCCAGTCCGTGCAACGACTATCAGAAACGCGTCGAGTAAGCAGGTTATGCGAAAGTAATCAAATATCGTTGGCAAAACCTGAGGATTCTCTAACAGCATTGGTAGGACCGTTTCGTCGAATGCAACGACTAAATGATTGCGATCAGAGATGGGGAAATTTCTTATGTAGCCAAAACCTTCGAATGATTGTTCATTCGATATTTGTTAAAATCGAAACTTAGAAATCGAATTTTACAGAAATAAATATTTTTAAATAGACAAATAACAATTGTTTCATTAAGTAAGTCTTCGTACTTTCGTAAATACACCTAATTTCTGATTTTCACGGTAGTTTTCTTACACGTTTTTCAAAATAATAAACTTCTAAACAGTATAAACTGTTAAAAGCAGACATTTACGCCGTCCATATATTTGTTCATTCATGTTTTAGTAGCCTCGTTTGTTAATACTGATATTAACATCAAAAAAGTAAAATCTCTTCTTTTTTGGTACAAAAAGCATTGCTCTTAATCATGACAGTGAGTCTTTAGAAACAATGCCTTTTCCAATTGGAAATTTTTTAAATCTTTATATCTAATAGTTAGTGATGAATAACCATAATTTTTGTACAAATACTCACATTACAAAAAAGAAAAACAATGAATAAGGAGAAAATCATATCAATTGAAAGCCAAATTAAAATTATAATACATAGACTTATATACGGATCTGTTATATCATGAATAGACTGACATTTTTTATTTTTCATTTGTATTCTACGTTGAAATTAACGAATTTCATCGAATAACTGCCAAAATTATTGCATTTATTCTTCTTTCAATTTACATAGTTTTTACACGCAAATAGCTATCTTCCAATTAAATCGACGAATTAAACTATTTGCTTTAAAACCTAAAAGAAATGAAAAGCTAGCAATCAAAACGTCGATGAATAAATAAATTTTGTCCGTAATAGATAATGCTAGTTTCGTATCAATCGTAATAGATTGATTCGTATTGATTCGTATCATATTACTTAATTTATAATTTCGCCCATCTCTGATCGCTGTTTTGCGCAAGATCGTCGACGCTACCACAGTGTGGTCGAATGATAGGATTATCGATAGGCGGGAAGAAAAAATCGTATCCCTACTCACCTCCGTAGTTCGGCCTTACTCTTTTATCGTAACTGACGGAGAACGAGTCCAATATCGCGGAGATGTTGACGTCACCCAGCATACTGCCTCCGCCGGTTCTGCAATATAGAAGGATAACGATTCTGTGAAACTTCCCGGTAGTAAAAGAGTTCAATGGTTACGGAACGGGGATGGGAGGTAAGGGTGCCAGCCACGTACGTACGATGACGTGCACGAGTTTCCGGAAAGTTACCGTTCCAGCGTCGCTCCCGCTGGTGGAAGAATGAATTTTGGATAATACTGAGTTAAAGCGCGATAAGGACAAACAGGGCACGATTGGAAAACGTTTCTTTTCACATTCATGGGGTACCTGCATAGTTACAATCCGAGGTTCAATCGTACCACGCGCGTGGGAGCATTCTAACAGTCATGAATTAGGGAAACTTTATTACGAGCTGGGGACTTTTGCTTTTCTTATCGAGCAGGAACTCGAAATGTTATAAGTAGACTGTGGATGGATGTTTATGGAAACTCGTATCTTTATACAGGGTGAGTCTTATAACGTGACGGCCTCAAATAACTCGTAAGGAATTCGTTGTACGACAAAATGTTTCAAACAAAATTTGCATGGTATCTAGGGGGGCATACAGTGATGTAATCTGTTTTTTATTACCTTACTTTTTTATTGAGATATTAAGGTTACCTTCAGTTTTTTAAATGGAATGTCTAATATTTTTTTTCGAATTTGGATAAATCATCAAATTTTGCGTAAAAAAGTTAGCCTTAGAAAGCAGCCTAAGCCTTAAGAAGGTAGAATGCGATGGCTGATTTCGATCAGGATACTTAGCTTAGTACAAGATCTTAGCTCTTATAGCATTTTCTTCACACGCACCATAAACAATTATCATAACGTTGTTTCACTGTTACTGAACATTGTAATAAAAATGTAGCACCTTTCTCAATACGACTTTAACGCTTACCGAGATACTAAATAAGCATTTCGTGTTGATCATTATTAATATTTAACAGGGAACTTGTTTACAGATATGACCTACCTACGTGAATAAAGTCGTGCTAACACATTTTCGTCAGAACTCGCATCCATAGTAACCGTAGTAGACCGCCTTGTTCTGATGAGGATTTCGGACGTACTCGTCCAAACACATTTTCGTCCGAATTCGCATCCATAGTAACCGTAGCATAAGCGGATCATAGATGATTATTAATTTGAAGATATCTCAGTAATTATTCATTCGAAGTCCCACTTCATGTAATACTATTTTACGCAAAATTTGATGGTTTATCTGAATTCGAAAAGAAGTATTAGACATTCCATTTAAAAAACTGAAGGTGACCCTAATATCTCAATAAAAAAGTAAGGTAATAAAAAGCAGATTACATTACAGTATGTCCCCCTAGATACCATGCAATTTTTGTTTAAAACATTTTGTCGTACAACGAATACCTTACGAGTTATTTGAGGTCGTCACGTTATAAGACTCACCCTGTATATTAGGTTGGGTAAAAAGTTTGTTTGAATTTGAACACACAAATAAATAGCGATTTCTCTTAAACAAGGAAATATATTTACTTTCTAATACAGTGTCCATATTGTTCTATGATCTTTCCCCATTTTTTGGGCAAATTCATGATTCCGCGTTCGTAGAAGTCCTCGTTGAATTAATAACCATTCGAACTGGAAAAGACAACCATCACGACAATCCGAACGAACAGTTTTGGGCAAGCATTTTCATATTCCGACTTCATATTTCATATAATTGTGCATCTGTCCACAACCTTATAGTATATTATTGTATATTAACATTGGTCCTAAATGCATAAGCACTCTCAGTCTAGTTATAATCAAAATAAAAAGGGTCATAACGATAATAACTAGACTGTGGACATTTATGCTAAATGAAAATATAGAGAAATCTATGAGAATGTGCATAAATGCAAAAATATACATAATATAAACAACAATATACGTGCTGGTTATTTGTCTATTAAGCTGCACTGCAGATGTTTATGCAAATACATATTTCATATGCAAATATGTAGAATATATGGACCTATATGCAAATGAGCAGAATATATGCACTTGTATGCAAATACGCAGGCTATATGCACTTATATGCAAATATGAAGGGTATGTACACATACAAATATGCAAAATATGTTCATTTGTATGCAGTATGAGCTAATGTCATCGTCCATAGTCAGTACATCAAACGTATTCTGCATATTATATTCTACAATATATAATGTATACATTTCTATTATTATTGTTATTATTATTATTATTATTGTAGGAGTGGGAATGTGTGCGTGTGCGTGAGAGAGGAAGAGAGAGAGAGAGCGTTAGCTATAGGATAGGTATAAGGATATTGTAACGTAGCTTTAGTTTAGTTTAATTCATGACCTGGCCACTTGGGCTGATGTTGTCCAGGAGCGCCTCGGCGAGGCCGCCTAGAACAACGTTCCCCTGCCTGGGAAAAACCCTGGGTAGTGTTTAACTTTAAGGGGAGGTAGAGAAAGAAGCGTTGGAGACAGATTTAGTTGAGCAGTCGAAGGGTAAAGACGGCGCGAATAGACGTAGAGCGGATCGTTGAGCGGACTCCATTCATTTTAGTTTCGTTAATAGTTAAGTCAGCATTTTATAAATATAGTAACATATAATAAATCCTACATTATTATTATTATTTTATTTCATTATTTGATGTACATTGAACATATTACTTGTATTCATTGTATGCATAAATGGATATTTGACGTTTCTGCAATGGATGTGTTTTTTACATATACTATCTACACGAGAATCTATAGTTTACCGATGATTATGTTGCCAGAGTTAACACGGGCGGGGTCGCTAAGTGATTAACGGTAAATCTGACGTATACTGCGGCTCGACAGTTTCGTTCGCCTTTCGATCTATAGAGAATCCTTTTTGATAGAGATGCATTCGTTTAATTGAAAGTTTTACTTTCGTGTATTAATACGATCTTTTTGTTTCATGTTCGTAAAAATAAAGACGAGAACTGTAAGCCAATGTCGTACTGTGTCTCACATATTGGTTAAATATTCAGTTAGCCTATTTAATACACTTTATTGGCGCATACTTAAAAGCGTTAAAACTATGCGCAATATAAGATATTTTAAGCCAAGGTTATAATTTCTTAAGAATAAAAACTGGTATTTCTCATTCATATTTTATTTCACAAAATTCTGAGTTATATTTCTCAAATAATAAAATGATTCTTGGGTTATTTTATGAATAAAATTGTTATTATTAGATGCTTTTTTTAAAATTGTTTTTGTGAAACAATTTTAGAATTTGTCGATTAGTTACCTTCTTTGTAAATTTATTTGAATTAAGCATAATAATTTTCTAAGTTACCTTCAGATACATTTGAATTATTTTTAACGTTGATTGCGTGTTATTTATTAGACCAGAGAAAATGGTTATTCTTTTACATCTTTGATTATGAACCACGTAGCCCACGACGACGGTAATGACGCAGACTACACTGGCTTGCAACGTACATAAAACATTGCAATTACTCACGTTACTTTCAGCAACGTATTAAAGTGGGGAATAAAATTTAATATTTGTTACAGTATAAAATTGTATGGATTCAGAACTTTCTTTAGTTTCAATGAATAAAATATCGGTCTCACTTTACACAGAAATATTATTTTTATTAATTTCATTTGAATTAATTGTATTGAAACTGGAACTTTTATTATTCTCATTTCGTCAGGAATTGATGTATTCTCTTTGTGTTCAGTAATAAATGAGCGGTCTTTTTGTTTGCAATTTTATAAAAGCACAAGCCAGGAATTGCATTTGTTTAATTACAATATGAGAATATTATAGAAAAGTTCTATTCATATTCTATAAATGTTAAAAGTCTATAATTGTTTCGAGTTTACACAAAGGGACTGAATCACATTTAATTTGACAGTTTAGGGTCAATATCTCTCTATAGTTGTGTTTAATATGCTACATTTCTTTTAATAATTTCATCGTATCTAAAGTAAATCAAATATTCCTTCTAGAAATAAAGAAACATGACAATTTGGTATAGCCCAGACATGCAGAAACAGAACGATCCATTCTCGATAAGGTAATATATCATCCCCCTCTTATCGTACGATTTTTCTTGAAGCTTGTCCAAAGTAGAAAGGCATTGTCACAGTTCATGTGACGTGTTCAAACACGATGAAACTATATGAAAAGTTAGACCCATAAAATGCACTGCTTATAGGTTTGATTTAACGGGTCAGCAGATATCTTGGCCAGCCAATCAAGCGGCTTCGAATCTACGATTGAACTACATAGTTCTAGGTATCCACGAAAACCTACCACGAGCAGGCTTCTAGCAATCCACCGATTTTTGTTCAAGACAGCATGGCACTTTGACTTTTTATGTAATAAACATCGTAGGCTTCGTTTTAATCGAAATGATATTTTATTTATATACCTTGATAAAACAAAATACAAAGTAAAATACGTTTTCCAACTATCAATAGTTTGGATTAATAGTTCTTTTGTTTTTTTTCTTTATATAACTGGTTTTGCTAGTGAAAGTATTCTTTATAATCGCCAATAAAAGAATTAGATTCTATTACATTAACCACAAATTATATGTATAGCTTAGAAAGTTTAAATACTTTTATTAATACAGTCTTTTCCTATTTATATTTTCAGTGACAGCACCTACGATTTGGTGCAATTTTTATTTGAACTTAGTTTTATCAAAATTAGTTGATGTTGTCTTTCATCGCCACTATTGAGAGTAGTTTTTATTACTCAAGTAATATTGTTCGATACTTTATCTGTGTTCAAAATTTAATTCAGCCCAGCGTGGTATAGTTGAGTGACGTTTTTTGAAAATGCAGAGACATCTAATTTGTAGTAAGCCATAGATAATATAAAAAATCAGATTGATTTTTAGATAGAAAACCAGGTTGACAAATTAATGAAATGTTTTAGTGACCAATTAATCGGTTAAGTTACTGTGAATAAATTGGAATTAGTATAAGTTGAGCCTGAGATTAATTGGAGATGCATTGTAGAGTTGAACAACGATGGCTAAATCGTATCTAGGTGAAACAG